AGGGGGCTTCACCTGGTCTCTGCTGGACTGAATGGGTCTGGTGGCTGCAGAACTGGGGGCCACCTTACTCTGCTGGGTCTCTGCTCCGAACTACAAAGACACAGTGGACGTTAACCCGTGACCTCTGTGACCTCTGTGACCCCGTAGTTTCACACTCACCAGGCCAACGTTGCTGAGGTCAAACAGACTGAAGGGTCTGGAGGAAACGGCTTCAGTCTGGATGAAGTTCTTCAGGACGTCAGAGGACGTGGTCTGGATGTAACCGTAGTCCTGACACACACACACACACACACACACACACACACAGAGAGAGTGGGATTCCTGCAGAAGCCCTGGTTCTGTCTCACAGTGATGATGTCACTCACCACCACTTCATCCAGCAGCTCGTAGATCAGAGCGAAGTTCATCTGGACCGACTTCTCAGACAGAGAACCACAGTAGTCTGTGACCAGAGCAGCCAGTCTGGACACACACACACACACACACACACAGTCTGGAGGTGAGTGTGTGTCTGTGACCAGAGCAGCCAGTCTGTACACACACACACACAGAGGCCGGAGGTGACCTCTGATCTGACCTCCACTTCAGTAGCTTCTTCAGTTCAAGCACTAACCTGTTAAGGAAGTCGATGATGGTGAAGGGGGAGGAGCCTGCGGATGTTGTCGTGGCGACCCAGTAGAGTCCTCCCTGACGGACGTGGACGAAGTGAAGATCTCTGTGACTCTGAGGAAGAACAGAACCACACTGAAGGTCCACGTCCCTGTGACTGACAGCGTCCACACACACACACACACGTTACCATGACGACAGGAGGCTGGTCTCCAGGCAGAGCTGTGACCTTCTCGTAGAATACATTGATGACATCATTTCCTGCCTCTCCACGGACTGACAGACTTAGTTAGGGACATTGAAACAAAACTTGACTCCAGAGTAGAAACCTCAACTAAATCTCGTCAAAGTCATTAGGACTTGAATGACATCAAAGATACAGTCTTTGTAGATGAGGTGGTCGCCTTTGGAGGACAGGATGAAGAGCTGAGAGATCATCGTCATCATCAACGTCTACTCAACACGAACACGACATTCCTGGAAAGAACACACTGTTTAATTACTCATGCAGTGGCTCCACCTGCTGGCCATACTTCATATTTCTAAATGTATTCTGATCGTTTAGTTAACGATGTTACAGACGCCCACCGAGCCGCAACCGTCGGTATTTTGTCAAGAAAGTCATGAATTGACGGACACAGAACTCAGTCGGTTTAAACCACAAGAACAAGACAACGTTGAATTAATTTGACAAAATGTAAAACGTGTTTTCAGTGTTTGTCTTAACAACACTGAGCCGACTCATTTACAGGAGCCTCGTGAAACACACTTTAAATCTGACACGTAACGATCCCAAAGTTAAACACGATGACACGATACGATAACTAAACTGACACGATAACTGAACTAAAAGGTAAGAGTTCGGGAACAGGACTTCAATCTGAAGAATGGACGAGTCAACAACAACAACATCATATTTGTGATTGTGTTACTCACTTGAATGTTACATAAACCGACGAGCGTCAAACGTTAGGTATTTTGTTGAATTATACATGTTTTTAAATATAATAATGAAAATATGAAAAGTCGGTGCTAAACATTAGCTCATGGCTAACGTCAGCTCTCGCAAGCCATTAAACCGTTAGCGACCAACGTGTTGGTGACAGAAACGTTCAAAGCCTCGTGTCGAAACGTATCGAGTTCAAACATGCATTGAGATTCAGATTAAATTCGCTCTTCGTTTATTTCATAATCTGACCAGAAGACGGTGAGCGGTGTTTTGGAGCCGGGTCACATCCATGTCCGCTGAAACAATAACAGGAGAGCGCCCCTGCTGTCCGGGAGGTCATAATCCCTATTCTCTTTTAGGATCATATTATGTTTGTTTCTTTATGTTTATTCATTGTGGAAATCCACAAGTCCAGAGTTGGGTTTTAACCCAGCAAATGTTCACCGATGTCTTACTTCAAGCATCAAATAGAGACTCCCAGCCTGCAGGGGGCAGTCGGTGCAGAAGTTACCGGAAATAGTTCATGGAAGCGAAGTAGCACGTTAGCGTCAGGGTTAGCATTTGTTTCGGTTAGACTGCGATACACATGAAGTAAGTGATCATTTCTCAATTACATTATTATTATCATTATTGTTTTTTAGCTTCTCTTGACATTTAGATTAATTCTTCGTCAACTGTGAATTATAAATGATAAAAAAACAAACATTTACCACAGTTCGTTAGCTGCGAATGCACACGGCAACAGAATACGTTGTTGAAGTGTTCAAATTAAATATGATTAACACTAAATGGTTGATAATCAGAAATAGAGGACTTGTTTTGTTAATGTTTTTTTTAATAAATTCACTCTGGTCTTTAACCAGCTTTTCCACTGTAACTCCAACAATTACCCCGGGGATAATAACTAAAGTGGTTATTAACATTTTTTTTTTTTTACCAAAAATATTGTATTTATTTATTGAACAAGTCAAAATATGGCGCTTGGTCTTCAACACATGATGGTCTTTTCTCAGTCCACTGACGAAGGTGAAGCTCATCAATGAGCTGAACGAACGTGAGGCCCACCTGGGCATCAAGGAGTCGGTGTCGTGGCACAGCGTGTACCGAGACAGCGCCTGGATCTTTGTCGGTAACAGAGCCACGCCTCGTGTTTCTGTCTGGGTCTCGGAGTTGGTTTGTTTGTTGTGACATTCACCTGTTTGTTTCTGCAGGAGGATTTCCATACGAGCTGACTGAAGGTGACGTCATCTGTGTCTTCTCTCAGTGCGTACATTTCCTACACAGGTTTAAATGAACACATTTGTCTCTCACATGTTTTAGAACATGTCTGACTTTGAACTCAGGTTGTGGACCACGTCATGGCCCACACGGACAGTCACAACAACAACGTCAGACTTTCTCTCTTCCTGTCAGGTATGGTGAAGTCGTCAACATCAACCTCGTTCGTGACAAGAAGACGGGGAAGTCCAAAGGTTTCTGCTTCATCTGCTACGAGGACCAGCGGAGCACCATCCTGGCTGTGGACAACCTCAATGGTACCAAGGTGAAGACAGGGTTCCTGGGACAGGACTGTCTCTCCCCGTCTTCTGTGACATCGCTGACTCTGGAGTTTTTTCTTCTGCAGATCAAAGGTCGGACCATGCGCGTGGACCACGTTAAAGACTACCGTCCACCCAAAGACTCCGAGGACATGGACGACGTGACCAAACGTCTGAGGGAGGAGGGCTGTGCTCCCCAGGTCCAAAAGGCTCCGTCATCTTCAGAGGACGAGGGCGATTATGTCTTACCTTTAAAGAAGCGAAAGAAAGGTGAGCCGTTGATGGTGATGGAGAGTGACCTTTGACCTCAGTTTGCCGTTGATGGTGATGGATTGACCTCAGTTTGCCGTTGAGGAGAGTGACCTTTGACCTCAGTTTGCCGTTGAGCTGGAAATGTTTTAACTTTTGATGTTGTTTTCCTCAGAAAAGAAAGAGAAGAAGAAAAAGAAGGACAAAAAGAAGAAGGCTGAGAAGGAGAGACATACATCGTCCTCGTCCTCACCTTCGTCTTCTCCTCCCACCGTAAAAGTCAAACAGGAAAAAGAAGACAGTGCATATAACAAGTACTACTCAAGGGGGGGGGAACAGGGGGAGGCACAGAATGGATGGAGAGCGACTGAGGAGCCTGAGAGGAGGAAAGACCAAGACAGGAGACATCCTGAGAGGGAGAGAGACCAGGACAGAAAGAGAGCGGTGGACAGGCAAAGGAACACAGACCGGGACGATGGGAGAAGAGACGATGGACATCGAGGCGAACGCAGGGATTCGGACAGAGACAGACGCAGAGACATGGACAGAGATGACCGGAGAGGGGAGACAGACAGAAGGAAAGACAAGGAGCGGGACAGCGGGGACAGAAGAGACAGACGATAAACAGAGGACAGAGACTGAAGTGTTTGTTTTTTTTACTTGTTAATAAACGTATTAATGAAAAACAAGATGTGTGATTTTCTTTTTCAGTCTTCCTCCTTCAGGGGGCGCCAGAGTATCATCAGTCAATGACATCATCAATGATGGACTGACAGAATCTTACTGGACAAAATATCATACTGACACTGCCTGTACCCATGGTTTCCCCTGGCGGTGCAGTACCCTGCAGCACCACACGGGGGGCTTCAACTATCTGTAAATGCTTTGTTTGAGCAAAAAAGAACCTCCATTCTGATTGGCTCTGAGTGACGGGGTTTAAATGACACCTTGATGGCTGTTCACGTCCAACAGGTCCATTTTATTTAAAGCACCAAAACAAACCAACCTGTGGGTCAGAGGTCATCGTTAGAACAGGAAACAGGAAGTACAACTTCAACGGTCCACGCACCTTTGACAGAACGACTTAAAGGGAACATTGTGTGTGTGTGTACGAACCAGTCGTCCACTTACACTGAGGTCAGGTGTGAAGGGTCAGAGGTCAGAGGGGTCTCCCGCTGTGGGAGGTTTTATAACCTGATGTGTTAAAGGCTGTCTCCACCAGAGGGCGTCCCTGGTTTCAGTTCATGTGGTGGAAACATGTCGGTACTGGTACGTCCTGGCACCTGGTACTAACTGGTTCCTGGTGTCACTTTAAGACAGTGTGGTTCCTGTGAAGTTCTAAAAACCTCTGTGGTGCCTTGAAAGCAGCGTGAGGTCAGAGGTCAGGGAGGTTAAGGCTGTAGCGGTTTGTGAATGAACCTCTCTCTCGCCACGAGTCGCCCCCTGCTGTCTAATCAACCAAACGACAGCCCCTTCCTCATTGACCTTCGTCCCAGGAAAGTCCACGCCCCAGGTCAGGTCTCACTGGACCCTAACCAGGGTCTGGTTCATCTGCTACACTGGTAACCACGGTAACCTGAGGGTGGAGATTTGACCTGAGCCAGAGTCTGAACCAGACTGGAGTCCAGAACCACAGACCGGGGTTCTGACACAGACCCCGGAGCTCAGAGGTCTCTGTGCCCGACCTAGCTTCCATTGGGTTCTGACCCGGCCCGGCCTGGACTCCAGGCTCCGCCCCCTGGTGATGTCACTCAGCCTCAGCACATGGAGATGGTGACGTTGATCCCCAGGTTGCCGTTGTCGGCGAACAGGTGAGCGATAGACGTGTCGAACACCAGACAGTCGCTGTTGACAATGGCGGCCGCCACGCCGTCGTGGATGGAGCGGGGCGTGGCCTCCCAGGTGAGGCGGCGGCGGTTGCCGTTGAGCTCCAGACGGTAGGCGAAGTTCTCGGCCTGTTTCCGAGTGCCGATGAGGAGCACCACGGCGAAGAACTGCTGGTGGCCCTCGTACTTCTCCTGCTTCTCCAGCACCAGCATGAAGTGGTGGCTGAAGCACGACTGCATCATCACCCAGTCCACGGCTCCGGGCAGGTTGATGTCGGTCGCCAGGAAGACGATGTCCTCCCCCTACAGGCCAGAACGAAAACAACAACAGACAAACGTTGAGCCAGAAACATCCGTTTGGGCTAACACGACTGTAGCTTCAAAAAAAAAGAAATCATGATCAGTACGTGCAGTTCTACTGCTGACCTGCAGGGTGGTGATGGACTTGTGTGCGTGCATCAGGTGCGGCATCACCGCCTCCAGTGAACCGTGCCATTTACAGGTGGCACCAGGACAAGGGCAGGTGTACGGCCTGAACTCACACACCTCCTCGTGATCGGGTTTCTCACTGTGGTGAAGGGACAGCAGGCAGCCGGCCGCCGAGTACTGAGGACACACAGACCACAGTCATGGATCATCACAACCGCTGAGGGTTGGTGGGATGGACATCGGTCAGGACGTGTCAGTGAATTCTGAGACTGAGGAGATGTTTAACCCCCCGACCTCCCCCCTCCCTCCCCCCCAGACACAGGTCGACTTTGACTCGTCGCCGACCTCATCGTCTCTGACTCACCGGGCCGCCTGCCAGAGGTTTGGTGCACCCGACCGGTCTGTTGGACCGGTCCTTGACCTTTGACCACAGCTGTTGTTTTTGCTGCTGTTGTCTGCCGTTAGCGTTTGGCGCCGCACCACTGGCTGAACCCAACCCGTGGTGACGATGCCAGCCCAGCAGGCACCGCCACTGAGCCACCTCTTGGAGAGGCAGGCAGGAGGTGGGGCAGAGCATCACACACTCTCTGAGTCAGAACACACACACACAAACATACGAAAACATTTACATCACCATTTTGGAAGTATGTCCAGCAGATGGCAGACTTTAGACATTCCAGTATTCGATTGTTAAATCACTCAGACAGGGGGCGCTCTTTTAACAACTTTCAAGGCAGTGACTTGTTAACAATCTTCTTCTTCTGTTTTTACAAACGTCCTCCTGCAGCCAGCAGAGGGCAGTGTCACAGGGGATCAGGTATCGATACAGTTTCTGTCTAACACAACCAAATCAGAACATTAAAGGTCAAAGGAAAGTGGGACCAAAAGTTCTTCTTGGGTCCAGGACTGTGGGTCAGACCAGACCAGGAACCAGAACCCAGAGCAGAACCTCAGTCATTGAATCACTCACTCTCAGACAGTACCAGAAACTAAGAAGGACGGTTCCACTCGAAAAACTAGTACCAAAAAAAAAAAGAAATTGTTTCTAGACATAAACCTGTAACAAGAACCAAGACTGTTTATCTGACACCAAATGGTTCCTGCTCCGAAAAGAGTTCTGGTACTTTATGGTGAGAGCCGGGCTAGGGATTCAAGGAAACCATGTCAGAGAAACTATGGAAACACAAGGTGGCGCTCTAACAACCACTGATCAACAAATTTTACATCAAAAACAGCCGTTCGTCCAAATGTCCCTGAACGCATCACTGCCAACAAACAACAGTCAATAAGCACACACACACACACACACACGTACCAGCCTGTGTAGACGCAGCAGTGATGCAGCTGAACCTCTCTCGTCCTCCCCTCTCTCCCTCTCTCTCTCTTCTACTGCAGCAGATGAAGAAAATGGGATTTTTTTTCTTTTTCTACTGAAAATGTCACCAAAAGAAAACACTCTCTAGTACTGTAGTACTGCTGTAGTACTGCTGTAGTACTGCTGTAGTACTGCTGTAGTACTGCTGTAGTACTGCTGTAGTACTGCACAAACACACAGAGGCTGAGGAAAACACTCTCTCTCTCTGCTAATGTCTCTCCACCTTCCACTGACAGCAGGGCAGAAAAACATTTGTCCTCCAAGCGTCCACACACACACACACACACACACACACACACACACACACACAGTGGGGGCGGGGAAATGAGAGTGAGAGAGAAAAGGAGAACGTTCTCCTCCTCCAACATCTGGCCACACCCCCTGAATCTCTCTCTCTCACCCTCACACACACACACACACACACACACACAGGTCATCAGACTGTTAGTGTAACGTTGTGATCAAATAAAGTGACCACAGACGGTGAACTAAGAGGGCGGTGCTGCAGGAGCCGCTCACAGTGAAGGATCATGGGTAAAAACTCCTCATCAGTTTTCACTCGATTCAACATTAATGTCTCTGTAATGGAATGTTCTGGATCACTGACGACACCTGAGCAGGTGTCACGTGACTGTAAACGCTGCCGCTCTGGTCCTGTTTGACCTCTGACCCATGTGACTGGTGATGAAGATTCATGGGTGAAAACTGGGAGAAGTGATTGGTCCAGTTCAAAACAACAGATAATGATGACAATATGTTTCTTTATCAAACTCCAACAACATCAACTCAAATCAACGTCTGAATCCCAGGTTAAACCCGACTCCACTGCTGTGTCCATTCAGTGATAATGTCCAGGCCGACTGGTCATCACAACACAAAGGTCACTGAGGTCAACTGTGGACCAGTTCTCGTCTGTGCTGCTAAAACAGAACAAATCTGAGTGGATTCTTTACAAACACCAACCACCTGAAATCAACCATTTCCAGACTTAGAGCTCAGTCAGTTTCCAGACCTGTGGTGGAGTCTGTTGTTGTCTATTAATAATAATAATAATAATAATAAGACATTGTATTTATAAAACACGTTCATCAAAACAGGAGATAACAAATCAAATCAATAAGGCGGGTGGAGAGGTGACAGTCAGGTGAGACCAACTGAAACAACCGAGTTCTGAGCGGGAACGTTGGGGTAGACAGACGGTGTGGAGGGGACGGTGTCTGAGGAGGAGCAGCGGGAACAGGAGGACGGAGGGATCTGAACGGTTCTGAAGATCAGCCCAGATCAGGGTTTGTTTTTGTTTTGATTCCCCAGTCACGTGACACGGGGCTGTGTTGTGTGTTACCTTGCAGGGGAACGGCAGAGTGGACGCCACTTTCTCCATGGCCAGGTTACGGATGCTGGGGGACAGCGGGCCTCGACAGGTGGGGCAGCAGCTCAGCTTCTGGCGGCACTGGTTACAGACCAGGTGACCCGACTGGCACTGCAGTATGGGCGGCAGGACGTAATCGAAGCAGACCGGACACTCGAACAGCGCCGTCAGCTCCGGTGGCTGCCCGGGCAGACCGCCCGAGGACAGCGTCACGGCGA